CCGGCGGGCTGGGCATCAGCATCAAAGGTGGGCTCAGGGGCACCGGGGGCACCGAGGGCACGGGGTCGCGGTGTCTGTGGGGCCGCCGAGGGCGCAGAGGTCGCGGGGGCTGGCAGCGTACGGAGGACATAGAGTTGGAAGATTTCTGTCTGGGGGCAAGGAGGGTGTCTGAGGGGACAGAGGGAACGAGGACACCTGAGCACCAAGGTCGGAGGGGTTTTGGGAGTCGGAGGCCTCCTCCGGAAGGCACAGGTGGAGGGGGTTGGGGAGCACCGAGGACAGGTGGATGGGGAGTTCTGTGTGGAGGCATAGAGATGTCAGGGGTTGCATGGACATGAAGGATAAGAGGAGCCCCAGGGGAGCAAAGGATGGAGAAAGGGGATTGAGGCCTGGGAAGCTCCTAGGCAAGGAGGAGGAAGTCCCTGGGACACAACCAAGGTGGAGGGGAGGGGTAAGGCCCCGAGTTCGGAGCACAAGGGTGGTTTGGAGACCTGGGTAGACAGGCTGGGCTCACAGACCCGGGTCCAGAAAGGATCTAGAAATCTGAGGGTCCGGGGCCCTGTGTACCTAGGTGGAGAGTCCTGACAACTGGGTTTGAGTTTCCTGATCCGGCCATCTCCACCTGGCCCAGAATTGAGAGGGGGTGACCATAGAGTTGCCTCTCTGAGAAATCTCATCCCCAATACAGACAGCTTTCTTTAGGTTGCAACCAGGTTATGTTTGAGTCCTGGATCCATGTTAACTTAGACAATCACTTCCCATCTCTGAACTTTAGTTTCCTTACTATATAATGAGGATGATGATAGAGTTGTAATGATTCTCTGAGAACAGGAGTCTGAAGTACTCACCCTGCCAACACATAGTAGGTTCCTGGTTAATTTTTGGTGTTAGATGAGAGGAAAAACAGAACCCAGGAAAGACTCCCAAAGCAACTAACCATAGTGCTTAAAATCTCTGCATACTCCCAGCCACTGGGTTTACCATTCCTACCCATCTGCTTCTCAGGTTGCTATCTGTCTTGGGAAGGGGTGTCAGCCCTTGTATCATCTTGGATATGCAGGTCTCTCTCCCTGGTGCTGGGTCTTATTCATTGGTGTCTCCAGACCCTTTGGCCTGGGTGAGGGGCTGGGGATGGTAGTGACTCAGCTACCACTGTGTGCTGAAGGCTGTGCCCAATACTCTAGGTTTATGATCTGTTTCATCCCAGCAAGAAATGGTAAAAAGTGGGGAGCATAATCTCCATTTTGCAGGTGAAGAAAGTGAGACTCACAAAAGTAAAACAATTTTCCCACGCTCACACAGTGAGTGACAGTGCTGGGATTTGAACTTCAATTATCAGGCCTCTTAAGTGCCGAGGGGTGTTGGTTCTTCCCTGTGGAAGGGCAGATTCCTAGGCAGCCAACCAAAGGAATCTAAAAGGGAGAAATGGGGAAGACAGAGAGTGGGCACCAGTCTTGTCCCTAAATTTTTTTTTTCAACGTTTATTTATTTTTTTGGGACAGAGAGAGAGCATGAACGGGGGAGGGGCAGAGAGAGAGTGAGACACAGAATCGGAAACAGGCTCCAGGCTCTGAGCCATCAGCCCAGAGCCTGACGCGGGGCTCGAACTCACGGACCGCAAGATCGTGACCTGGCTGAAGTCGGATGCTTAACCGACTGCGCCACCCAGGCGCCCCACCAGTCTTGTCCCTAAATTCCAGAATGGGAAAGGGCAACAGGTCAATCCAGAAATTGCACACTCAATATGTCAAAGGAAGGAGGAACTTAGAGTTAATACAGAGTTCTATTTTATAGATAGACTAGCTGAGACTTGGAGAGAGCGTGGACTTTCCAAGGTCAGGTAAAGTTACGCCCTAGCTCCATAGTTCTAGGTGGGAAGGTACTTTTAGGAGGGGTGAGGGGAAAAAAAAAAAGGAGGGGTCAGGGAAAG